ATACAGAAACGCGCAAGAGGTACTCCTAATATCGTCCATGTGGATCAATAATAGGAGATAATGCTCAGGATGAGCATGTCTTAGGAGGGGGCAGTGTTGCGCGCTATAATTAGCACTTGGTATGTGGCGGCTGATTATTAGCGCCATCTGGTATCTGTAATGAGGGTACATTAAATACATAAGTGATTAATTGTAAAAGGCTCGTCGAACAGTCACGAATAAACCGTCAATCCGCTTACCCGTGTCTTATTTACGAAATACACTACAGTGGCGACGAGGATTAAGTTGTTTTTATTTTTCGGTAAATTACGTGGACGCATATATTAAATATAATGTCAATCGGCAAAGTGAGTGAATTCAACGTCAAAACAGGAAACTGGACTTTATACGTGGAGAGACTAGAAATGTACTTTACGGTAAATGCAGTGAAAAACGAAATGTGGTTGCCGACATTAATCGCCGGTATGGGAGACGAAGCGTACGAATTATTAAGTAATTTAACAAGTCCGATTAAACCGGGAGATAAATCGTATCAAGAAGTGGTAAAAATACTTCGGGAACATCTTCAACCGAAACCCTCGTTCATGGCGGAGCGATATCGTTTTCGACAAAGAAGACAGTTGAACGGAGAAACGATTCCGCAGTATATAACCGAACTTAAGAAATTGTCGAAATACTGCGAGTTTCATTCAACTCTAGAGGACAATTTAAGGGATCAATTGGTGTGTGGGCTAAGAAGTGATGTCATCCGTCAACGATTATTCGCAGAAGATAATCTGAAATATTCCTTAGCCGTGAAAATAGCTTGCGCTTTAGAGGCGGCGGAGCGGGATTCGGCCGCGGTGGAGCAGGCGGGCGGCGGCGACGGGCTCGGCGGTAGCGGCGCGGACAGCGCCTTGCATGCGGTGACGTCATCGACAAGCCGCGCTCGAACGCGGGAGCAGGACAGCGCACCGAGGGCTTTTAAAGGTCGAGAACATGGCGGCGGCAATGCGCTATATTGCAGAGCGTGCGGGTCGAGGTACCACCGAAGTGATGATTGCCGCTATAAGAAATTCGTGTGTGGTAAATGCAAACAGAGCGGCCATCTACGCCGGGTATGTCCCAAACGAGGGGAGTACACGGGAAATGCGGGCTCCCGACGCCACATGTACCATGTGGAGGCGGCAGAGTGCGAGACACCGTCAGCGGACGACGAGCCACCATCCGTGGAAAGTCAAACGGAGTTACAGGAGGATCTACACCATCTATGTTTAAATAGCTATAAACCGGTGAGCCTAACATTATTATTAGACGGATTTAAACTTAATATGGAAATTGATACCGGGTCGGCAGTGTCTTGTATAAGTAAAGCGACTTATAATAAATATTTTTACACTAGACCTATGGACAAGTTCGATCTGGTTCTAAAATTTTATGATGGAAGTCGAATCAAACCTTTAGGCATCATCAAGCCCGAAGTTAGATATGGAAATATAACAAAGCACTTAGAACTGTTTGTAATAGATGGGGGCACGACTTCATTGTTGGGTAGACAGTGGCTGTCGGAACTGCAAATTAAAATTCCGACATTCCACAGCATGGTGCTGGATGACCATTTTAATAACAATAATTTGTCATTATTATTCGACAGATATAACAAGTTGTTTTCCGGCGGCTTGGGGCGGTTCGCGGGCGGCAAGGCGACGCTGCGAGTCCGGGAAGGGGCGACACCGGTGTTCTGCCGCGCACGACCTTTGCCCTACGCGCTCAAGGACCGCGTGGATGCTGAGCTGGATGCGATGCTTCGGGAGGGGGTTATTGAACCCGTGGAGAGCTCTGACTGGGCTACACCTCTGGTGCCGGTACGTAAGGCGGATGGTGGGCTCCGAATTTGTGCTGACTATTACTACTACGGGGATAAATCAGTGAACTACTAATTCTACGTTTTAGCTGGTCGATATGCTTATGTGACTCCTTACCTATGGTGTCTAAAACTTTGTAGTCCGTTACGCCCAAACGTTGCGTCACTTGTCCGGCTACCCACTTGTCGCTCCCCTGATATTGGCGAAGCCATACATCATCACCCGGCTGCAGGCCACGTTCACCAGTGGGAGCGTTCTCTTTCTGGTTTATTTGAGTTTTAATAATTTTATTCTCAATATCCGGTCTAAGTATGTCTAGTTTAGTACGTAATCTTCTTCCTAACATGAGAGAAGCGGGACTTTCGCCCGTAGTACAATGTTCGGTATTTCGATAATGCAATAGGAAAGTGTTTAAAAATAAATTTATATCTTTATTTTCCCTCACTGCCTTTTTAATAACTTTCTTGACAGTGCGTACTGCGTTTTCCGCGGCACCGTTTGAAGCCGGGTGGTACGGTGCGGTGAAAACATGTTGTATACCATTATTTGTTAAAAACTGAGAAAATTCCCTACTGGTAAATGGCGGCCCATTGTCTGATACTAATTGTTTAGGTAGACCCCACCTAGCAAAAACTTCGGAAAGTTTAACTATAGTGTGGCTAGCTGCTGTACTCGGTACATAAAACACCTCTAGCCATTTAGTTCTGGCATCAATTATTACCAAGTAAATTTTATTGAAAATTGGCCCTAAAAAATCTATATGTATACGAGACCAAGGCTTAGCTGGCCATGGCCACGGGCTTGGAGTGTGCCGTTGGGGCGCGTCCGCCTCGGCCGCACACACGACGCACGCTCGGCACATCGTTTCGATTGCCTCATCGATCCCCGGCCACCACACATAGCTTCGAGCTACCGCCTTCGTTTTGACGATTCCCATGTGGCATTCGTGGAGTTCGTTTAACACCCTACCCCTGCAATTCTCCGGTATGACTACTCTATGACCCCACATGATGCACCCTAGTTCTTCGTATAGTTCCTTTTTTCGGTTAAAATACGGTTGCAATGATTTGACCTCATTATCGGTGGGCCAATCTTCTCTTAAGTATAGTATAATTCTACCTAAAATCGGATCGCGCTGGGTTTGTTTTTTAATTTCATTATAATCCAGTAACATTTCACTTTGAGCGAAATGTAAATACGTTTGTTCAGGTAATTCTAAACATTCGTTCTTTGTGGATTGAACCGATACCGGTAGACGAGATAAGCCGTCCGCACAGTTCTGTTTACTACTAACGTACTCTATGTTATAAGAGTAAGCGGATACCGTAATCGCCCAACGCTGCAATCGGCTCGCAGCCATTAAAGGAATGCCATGTTTTGGGCCAAAAATACTGACAAGCGGCTTGTGATCAGTACGTAAGGTGAACCGTCGACCATACAGGTATTGATGCAATTTTTTTAAGCAAAAAACAATTGCTAAAGCCTCGCGATCAATTTGTGAATAATGTTTCTCCGCGTCGCTGAGAGCTCTCGACACATAGACCACCGGCCGCTCGCTTCCCGCTGCGCCGGCGCACGGCTGAGTGAGCACGCCTCCTATACCTCGAGCGCTAGCGTCACACGTCAGTATTAACGGTTTGTTTTGATCGTAATGCAATAATACTTCAGCACTGGTTAAGATTTTTTTTAATTTTTTTAAAAGAATCCTCGCAACTTCTGTCCCAGTCCCAAGTAACACCCTTTTTTAATAAGCGGTAAAGTGGGGCTAAGGTAGTACTTAAATTTTTAATGAACTTAGCGTAAAAATTGACTAATCCTAAAAATGATCTTAAGTCCGAAACGTCCTTGGGGCGCGGAATTTTTACTATAGCAGCTACCTTGTCAGGATCAAGATAGCAAGGGAAACGTCAACACTTCGTGCTCCATCACCTCATACGTCGCCTGTGCCGTCCGCAACGCCGCCCCAGGTCTTCCGGCCGGTACGCAAGTGCCGTTTGGATAACCCCCCCGCTATAAAGAGTAGTTACCATCACACTATATTATTTTTATATACTTCTTTTTTTTTAAATATTTTTTTTTACTTTCCTGTATAACAGTATAGTACAAAATACTTATATGTATAACTAATTGTAAGTCTTAATTAAGGGGGGGAGGATTGTAATGAGGGTACATTAAATACATAAGTGATTAATTGTAAAAGGCTCGTCGAACAGTCACGAATAAACCGTCAATCCGCTTACCCGTGTCTTATTTACGAAATACACTACAGTATCAAGCAGCAGAAATAGAAGCGTCAAGATCTTTCAAGAACTTTCCCACTAGCGCCATCTAGTATCGAACGGAAGAACTAAGATGTCTAGAAAGCGACTCACTCGAACATTCTGCACTTGGGCGGTCGGGGCTGGTATTTGCTGGAATATTCTGGATGTCTCGGTGAAAAAACTCATATAAAGCCGTTGAATACCGCTTTCGGGGCTATAGTGACTTGGCGATACGAGCGAAGCTTTTGGACTGAAATAAAGTAAACTAAAGTGTTTAGTGTGATTAATTATTAGTGTGATTTAAATTCAATTGGTGTTCACTAATTAAAGTGTCAATATTGGTAATTCAATCAACAGTTTTTATTGTCACGAACCCCAAGCTCGTAACAATATTTTATTTTGTACACACTTTTTTGTGTTCCTCTAAATTTGCCCATAAGTAGAGATGATTACACTTAAAAAATTAATTTAGTAAGATATTTTTTTAAATTTAAATAGTAGTTAGGTTGGAATGATAAAATGTTTGGGTAATTAGTCTTAATTAAAAAAATAAGATATCCTAATGTCAGTTTAGAAAGTAGGTTATAGTGTATGTATTACTTTTATGATAGTTCTAAGACGAATACCAGTCCAAATAATTATCGCAAAGAACCACGTATTACTTAGGTTTTAGTGAAATTTTTGTTGTTTATGTAATTAACATACAAACAGTAAAATATTTTATTAATTCTACTAATTTCTACGCAATCAACGAAATTAAGTTGTATCTTTTAAGCACGCACTCACAAAGTGATAAGATAATGAACATGACCATTCAATAAAATATCTTTACCTTCCTCGCGAATCATTTGACATAAAATATTGCAATTAAAATAACGTAAAACGTTTAAACAATATGAGTAGAAAACTGCTTTTAATCTTTCTCGTAATTAGTGGAATAGTAGCAGTGTGTGATTCAAAACAAAGAGTACTTAATGAGGATGTTCAATTTCCAACATTTAACGAAAAACTATATGAGGAAGTGCTAAACCCAGAACATTGTCAAAAACAAACAGAGTATATAACAAGAAATGATACACTCTTACGTGCGAAATGTAAGTTTTCATTAACGTTTTTAGTTAATAAATGTATTTTTATCATCGACACGAAATCGTTTTTAATGTGTGATATTATGATGTCGTGTGTAATATTATATTTTTAGAAGAAAGACATCTAATTTGATTCGTAAACAATAAAAAAAACTTAAAATTAAAAACAATAATTATAAGAATTAAATAAAAATTAATTGAAAATAATAAGAAGATTTTTTATTATTTACGAATCATTAAAAATCGTTGAAATCGTTTGCATTAAGACAAGACTTTTCAATTTTTAAAACATTTGAAAATCACCAATTTTTTACTATTACTAAACACAAATATATTATATAACATAACTTACATATTGTGCTAAACGTGGCTTTAATACTCTTGTTGTGTACATGAATGCATAATGATGATAATTTTCCTTATTTAGTTGCAAACATCTATCAGTAATAAACTACTCGTATTGGAAATATCATGCAATTGTTTAACTACGAAGGTAAATTTAGTAAACTGTGTATATTTATCATTACTATCATCGCAAACATTTAATAATTTAAAATTATATATAGATTTCTTTAACAATATTTTATATTATATTTTATTAAAACTTTTGTTTACTTATAAGGTGTAAGAAACATAGATCTTTGTGTCTACTATATTAATTTCTTTTGCAGTTCTTGACGCTGGTTTACGAATACCAAAGGGTATCTTAATGGGCAATACTATTGATATGGGTAACTATTACCAGTGCTTAGGGATTAAGGAAAATGTTAACGATATGAATATTCAGGGCAAATATTGCATGATACAGGCAACATTAAATCAAGATCACCTAAACCAATTTTTATCGACATCACAATTATCAGAGACAGAGCAACGTTTGTTAAAAACAGTTTTAAATAATGTAACGAAAGAGAAGAAACCTGACGTTTTCCCAAATCCAATTTTTAAACCCAATTTCAATTATCAAAGGTATTACAATAGCTTTGATTATTTTTTTTGTCGTTACTTACATTGTTAACCTTCTTATTCTTCTCCCCACCCGTTGTAGAAAGAATTTACCTTAGCCGTCACACTTGATAAGCGTATTGGCGATCGCAGTACTAGACGTATTGCACTTTTGACGTTACTGCCTGTCGCTGTTATAGATATTTTATGCCGAGCGTAATCCTGGAGATGCGGTGTAAGAATATCCTATATCCCATATCGTCCTATGGGTGTCGTAAGAGGCGACAGAGGGAAATTGAAAGACATTTATAATATTTAGTAACAACAACAAGTCCCGTGTCCAGCAATGAACTCTACTGACATGTGAAGTGTCAAACAACAAAGAAAAATTTCGAGTTTGTTATTTTGGGATAGTAAATTAATATTTATTTTCATTTTTGTAGAAGTGGATCAGACAGTCAATTATCTAAATCAGAATTCTCATTAGCTGTATGCATACCAGCAGCATGCACTACACAAGAGGGTATCAATGCACTTTTATTTAATATCAGTGCTATTGGCTTAGAGTACACTGAATACTTTTGTCGACTTCCCGACGATAAACCGTGGGCACCTGTTGATTACGTCGCCATGTAAGAAAACATTTTATTTTCTTAGTAATATTGACGGAGACACACTATATATATGAACATACTAATCAGTTACTTTTTTTTTTAGAGCAATTTTCTATATAGTTGGAATTTTAACTTTCCTATGTACATCTTATGATATATATCATAAATGGATTCTTAAAAGCGGTATGTAACATTCGGTATCTTATTAGTATATATATATATATATATATATATATATATATATATATATATATATATATATATATATATATATATATATATATATATATATATATATTTGTTTCTGTCTCATTGAATATTATAATTTTTTAAATTTTTAGATAAGCGAAACAAGAATTCCCTATTCTTCTGTTTTTCTGTATATTCTAACACACAACGTCTGCTGAACTTTACTTCTGGGCCTGACTCCTTAGAATGTATTGACGGCATCAGGGCGTTGGCAATGATATGGGTCATTCTGGGCCATACCTTTTACTCATTACCATTTAATATAAACCCTATTGATACTTTACTAGTAAGTAAAACATATTTTTAAACTTTACAATTATTAGTTATACATGTTGTTGTTATAAAGCGTACTTAATGCTGTTAGCATTTCATTTTTGGTAAATGGGTGCTGTGGCCTAGAGACCGCTACATTTATTTTCAATTAATAATCAAAATACAGATGCATTGACACCCATGAGAACTGAGATAGAATACCTTGCTTCCAGTTAAAAGTGTCACCAGTTCTCTACACTCATTACACGAAATATAACAGTATTAAGCCACCATTGCGCACTGGAATTCTTTAAGAGCGTTGACCTACCCCGGTCGAGCCAAACTATTCAAGTTTCTATAGCTGTAGGGTAATTCTAGCACATGTCATACGTGATGCAATTTCATAACGCGATGAAATTTTTGTACAAATTATATATATATATATATATATATATATATATATATATATATATATATATATATATATATATATATATATATATATATATATGGTAGGCAACTGACTGTGCGCACGTATTTTTTCGTACATTTCTAAACATGAACGAAAATCAGGTTGAAGAATTTATCGATGAGGTTGAGAGTCGTCCAGCGATATGGGATTCGAAATCCGACAAGTACAGCAATAAAATTGAAAAGAAAAAGGCATAGGAAGAAATATGCAATAAATTTATTGAGAATTTCACAAACAAATATATATATATCATAATAATTTTTATTACTTTCCAGTGGGCAATTTCACTTAATGCCATTTGGGTGACATCAGCTCCTATGACGGTCGATACATTCTTTTTGCTGAGTGGATTGTTGGTAGTTTATTCTACAGCAGGAAAATTAACAGGGGGTAAATTATAATTATTTTTTTAGTTTTTATATATTTATTAAGTTTGTTATTTAATATCCATATAGTATTCAACTGGAACCCGTGCATTCTGGTCTCTCGCCAAGGCCGTCCAGGGAAATTTCTGTCAGCAATCTCTTCCATCTCTGTACAGGGAGGACAACTCACTGACCCATACCGCAAAGGAGAAAGCTGATCTGCAAGGCTCTTTCTTTGCGTCCAACTCGACTCTCGATGATGTGGGGAGTACGCTGCCAACCATCCCGCGGTGCGAATGATCCACGCCGGAAGTACAGTTCACACAGCGCTCCGTTCGCAAAGCACTCCTCTCCCTGGACATCCACAAGTCGAGTGGGCCTGACGGAATGCCCCCAATTGTGCTGAGGAAGTGTGCTCTAGAGTTAGCATCGGTTTTAAAGCGTATTTTTCGGTACTCCTACTCCCTAGTCGTAGTCCCAAAATCATGGAAGACAAAATCGATCAAAATCGCTCAGACCCGTCCAACTACCGGCCTATCGCCATCACCTACTTATTCTCCAAAATAATGGAGTCTATTGTTAACTGCAAGCTCACGAGGTACCTTGAGGATCACCAGCTGATTAGTGATCGCCAATACGGTTATCGTCGTGGTCAGTCAGTTGGTGATGTTCTGGTCTACCTAACTCACAGATGGGCGGAGGCAGTAGATTCCAATTATTATTATTATTATTATTTATTTATTTGTCAGAATAAGGTAATACATAATAGTCTTAAATCTAATACAGAAGTTCACTTATTCTGCCTCTTTTATAGGCGTACAAATATTAAATCGTCTTAATTTAATTTCGACATAAAATTTTAATACAAAACTATAAATAATTAATTACGGATAAATGTTACACAAATTGTCATAAATATGTCAAAGTGAAAATCAATAATAATACATGTCATCGTCAAATTGCTATATATGTCACCTATATTTACTATTATAATTATATTAATTAAATAATAATTTTAAAAACAAAATTAGTTGTTGAAATATTCAGAAAGACTATAAAAACACTTGCTGAGAAGCCATTCTATCAACTTTCGTTTAAACGTTTGACTTGTTTCATTCTTTATTGTGTCTGGCAGGTGATTGTATACACGGATTGCCATGTAGGAAGCATTCCTGTTAAAGAATGAGGTGCCTGATTTAGGCAAGAATAATTTATTTTTGTTCCTAGTATGCCTCTGTGTTACATCAGACTGTTTTAAAAATAAATTTAAATTTTGTCTTACAAACAAACAGATATCCCTCACATACATACATGGTAAGGGAAGAATGTTTAATTTCTTAAAATGGGGTCTACAACTCTCACAGTACCCCAAATTGCATACAGCGCGAATACATTTTTTTTGTATTACAAATGCTTTCTGGCTATCGGTAGAGTTACCCCATAACAATAACCCGTAGCTTAGAACTGAGGAAACATAACCATGATATGCACATAGAGCTGCCTCTCGCGACACTGTTCTCCGTAATCGTCTTAGAGCATAAACAAATCGGTCTAATTTTTTACAAATTTTAAAAATGTGCTCCTTCCAATTGCATTGTTCATCAAGTGTGATACCCAAAAATACTGCAGATTGTACCTTTTCTATCGATTTATTATGAAATTTAATGTTAATGTCTATTTTTTTTGATTTGTGTGTCGTAAATTGTATTATTTTTGTTTTGTCAAAATTAATATTAAGGTTATTTAATTCAAGCCATTTAACTACGTCACGAATAGAGTTATTGATTTGATTATTAAAATTATTTATGTCATTAGCCTTTATTATTAGGGTTGTATCATCGGCGAAAAGAATGCATTTTTCTTTCGTAGCTTGAGGTAGGTCATTGATATAAATTAAAAATAAAAGCGGGCCCAAAATACTACCTTGTGGAACACCATATTTAATAATTTTATAATCTGATCTATATGATGATTTTTGTATTTGTTTGTTTTTAGGCACCATCTTACAGATTTCAGTACATTGCCTTCTGGGGGATTCCAAGGGGGAGGCATTGGCCGTTAGTTTTGATATTGCGAAGGCCTTCGATCGGGTTTGGCACAAAGCGCTTCTTTCGAAGCTCCCTTCCTATGGGCTTCCCGAAAAATTGTGCGATTGGATCACCAGCTTTCTTGCAGATCGGAGCATCAAGGTCGTTGTAGATGGTGCAAGCTCCGATTACAAGCCTACTAATGCTGGTGTTCAACAAGGCTGAGTGCTATCGCCAACGCTGTTTCTTCTGCATATCAATGATATGTTGCAAACCCGTAACATTCATTTCTATGCGGATGACAGCACGAGTGATGCTCTTTACACCGGCCGTGCCAATATTTCTCGGGAAAACGTCTCCGAGTACCGGGACAAACTTGTGTCTGAAGTCGAATTTGGCTGAACAGAGTCTCGGATTTGGGGCGACTAAATCTAGTCCGGTTTAACCCCCAGAAGACACAAGTTTGCGTGTTAACCGCTAAAAAGAACCCTTTTCTCGTATCTCCTCATTTTGAAGGCTCTCACGTTGTTGCCTCAGCCAGTATCGGAATCCTCGGCGTCGACTATATCGAGTGACGTGCAGTTTCGTGGTCACTTGGAAGAGAAGGCCAAATTGGCCTCTAAAAAACTTGGCGTGCTAAACAGAGTGGGACATTATTTCATGCCGGCACACCGCCTGCAACTTTACAAGGCGCAGGTTCGGCCGCACATTTAATACTGTTCCCATCTCTGGGCTGGGGCTCTCCAGTACCAGCTCCTTCCACTTGACCGCATCCAGCGCAGAGCGTCTTGAATCGTCGATGATCGAGTGCTTTCCGATCGGCTCGATTCACTGGCACTGCGGAGAGATGTTGCATTTTTTTGCATTTTCTTTCGCATATACCATGGGGAATGCTCTGAAGAATTGTTCGGATTATTCCTAGCCGCCAAATTTCGTGAACGCACTACGCGGCAAACGTCCCGATACCATTCATACCATCTGGATGCTTGGCGGTCCACCACTGTACGTTTCAAAAGGAGTTTTCTTCCGCGTACAACCTCTCTGTGGAATAGTTTAACCACCGGCAATTTTTCCGGACCGATACGACCTGGGGACCTTCAAGAAAAGAACTTACTCCTTTCTAAAGGGCCGGCAACGCACCTGCAATTCCTCTGGTGTTGCGGTTGATCATGGGCGGCGGTAGTCACTTAACATCAGATGAGCCGCATGCTCGTTTGCCCCCTCTTCTATAAAAAAATTCAAATTAAATGGTACGCAAATATTAGTCTTTTGGATAAGTCTTTGTATTTGTCACTATGTATTGTTAACTAGCCTCTAATGCTAGTTTATATTTACTTTTTGATAGGCTATTAACCGGGACAGGAATATGCTCGTACAAAATACCACTGTAATCTAGCAGCATAACTGGAAACATTGACGTCTTAAACCAGCAGCATAACTTCTTTTCTGTTCTGTAAGACCGTTTTCTTCTGTCAAAGAGGCATTTCAGAGCTAAGAATCTTCTTGGGTGATAATAAATACAAAAATGAGTAAAGTTAGTCCAATATTTCATAAAAACCGATTTTGATTTTGAATTCTCAGTTTTGTTCAGTACAATCAGTTTTGTTATTTGTCAGTTTTATTATATTACTAGCTATGCCCGTGACTTCGTTCTCTTGGAATTAGTACTTTTGCTATTCTAAGTGACGATGATTTATTTGTAAATAAAACTTTTGCGAATACTTAGAAAGGCACTAATCTGAATAAAAACATTTAGTTAGTCGGTCAATCAGACAAACTGGTTGCGCGGAAAACCATTCGTATTTTTATTTTATTCGACGGTATGCTTGCCAAGCGTTGTCCTTCCTTCGACCTATCCCTTCCGTACACACCGGGGCGGTGGGGTGAGAGGGGAAAGAAGAGATTCTAGAATGTTGCGTGATTCTCGCAACCAATGAGAAGAGCCCCCGACTTCGGTGGGAAAGAAGCCGATATAAGCACGCGCACTGGGCTCGAGCGCTCTCTTGCCTTTGCGCCACTGGTTGGAACCACACCGCCTAGGACAGTCGCGTCCTAGAGGGCTAGGAGGCTAGGAGGAAAGGCCCACGCGCACCGCTAGTTTCAAACCGCACCACCTGGAGCAATCGAGTTTCAGAAGTAACCGCCTCACCTAGTGAGATATCGTCGCGCACCGCTCTCTTCCATCGCACCACCGACCAGGACCGCATCCCTGGGGTCCCAGGAAATCCGACAGAAGTCGCACCGCAGCAATAGAAGCGTCCAAGGCGCATCGAAGTCACACCCCGGTATGTGCGCTTCTTTTCCTATGACGCCTGATTGATTATTTGTGTTTTATTAGTTAATCCGCCCCAATTTCATTTCTCTTCATGTGCTCAAGTAGGACTCCTTCATAACCTTGGCAAGCAATAGGTTTTTTTTCGGAAGAGCAAGTGCATTGTCATGTAAAAGAGCCAAATCCGCCATCTTGTTTAGGCCTCATCCGCGTATACAGTCCATATAGTGTAAACATCTCGCGTAATAGGGCCAAGGCTCGACCGGGGAATCGGAACTCGGGAACCCTTAGGCCCGCCGCCAAACCATTTTCTGGTCCTGGTGCTTTGTAGCCTCACCATCCATTTCTGGTCCTTCGGCCGGATTTGGACTGGTGCTTTGTAGCCTCACCAACCATTTTCTGGTCATTCGGCCTGATTTGGACTGGTGCTTATAGCCTCACCAACCATTAAATCATCGAATTTCTAGATTAATTCCTTAGACAATGCACTCTAATTTAAAATTGAATAGATTTAAATAGTGTTTGTTTAGTTTAAAATTAAATTTTGGTTAGTTTTATTCGCAAATAGAATTATTCATTTAAATAGTGTTTGTTTAGTATAAATTTAAAATTTATTAGTTACTCGCATAAGTATTTATTTAAAATTACCACACTACCCAACATTTAAAAAAAAATAGTGTGAGTTTAGCTTCTTATCTATCGACGCGCGTCGCCTCGTTTCGTTGC